CTGTTCGGACCAACTCAACAGATTTTTTTTTTCCAGTTCGTCAAGAAAAGTGTGATTTGACGAGGATCGCGTTACTCGTAGAAGGAAGGGGGCCTTTTTTTTTTACTAACAGCTAGAATATCCAGTTTTTTGTTTATTTTGTTTTGCTGCAAAGCCTCTGTAGAAACCGGAGATGAGGACGTAGTGGAGCACCTAATTTTAATGCAAATGCAACCTGGAAGGATGCAATGCGAGGGTACTGCGCGCAATTTCCTTCCCCAGCAGTGACGCACGTCGTCTTCCGCCGAAAAGACGCACATGGAAGACTCGAGATTTCAACTCGACGAGTATTAGCTGCTCTCCCCATGCACATGTTTCATCATTGTTCCACTGCTGGAGCCAAGAGGTAAAACAACGCGGAAGCCGGCTATTTTTGAGCAACACGCTGACGTCATCCTGCAAGTCCGTGTTTTACTTGAATTGAATAGCAGGAAGCACGAAGGGGGTTTTTTGACGGGGGGAAAGTGCTACTCAACAAAAGGGGAGGATGAACGGAAAGGGTTGGTTCATAAATTTTAAGACTTTTCGAATTAGATCCAACAGACTTTCCATATTTGGAAGTTTAAAAAATTATTCGAATAGTCCCATTATTTGGAAATAATTCAGTGCTGTTTAACATGCTCTCCGCCGATTTCTGTGCTTGTTTTTCGTGCGATTCAATGATTAACACTGGGCCAAAAATCGAGTTCTGTTAGTTGATTAGGCACACTGTTGAATTATTGCATGAAAAAAAGGCTTAGAAATCGGGGGAGAGTAGGTTCAACAGCACTTGAGTGTTGCCAAATGATGGGGCTACGGGAATACTGTAAAAAAAATTTTTTTGCATCGTTGTAACTCCGATGAATCTATTTCGAAAAGTCTCAAAACTTATGAACCAACCCTCGTATAATCGGACGAATGTTACGTAAGTTTAACACAAATGTTGACCTTTCTTCGACGTAAAAGTTAGCTGAGATTCAATGTGCGCACGAAAATGTTCTGCTCAAGCATTTTATTGGTTTGTATTTTTCTACTTAATGAGCTCATTCTCCTCCACCTTGACTAAAATACTTTAATAGACGATTTGACAAAATTTCTCAGCTTCCTTGATCCAAGAAGTGAAATGTTTAAAAAACATTTCACGGTTTTGACTCTAGCTCTTTCTTTCCGAAACTTAACATGGCTGATTTTGATTTCTGAACATTCAAAAACGTTTGCTTGTACACATTTTTAATCAATGAAATGCTGCAGCTAGAACAGTAGGGATCACGTTTTAAATTCTTTTTCCCCACAAATAAATACGAGATGAACCTGTGGATTGATTTCTCCATCATCCAAACAGAATTTTACGAACTATTTTTTTTTTATTTAAAAACTGAAATTTTCAAAGGAAAAAATTTAACTTCGCGTGGAAACCGATTCCTCTTGATTTATTCGACACCTTCTTTATGACGTTATTCTAAGCAGCCAATATTTAAAAATTGATTTTGATCTCAGGTGCTAAAATTTAAAATTATTGTTCCGGCTTTCGAAGAAAATAAGTGGGCGAATTTATATTCCTCAAACCAGTGGTTTCAGAAACAGCTTATTCATGTTAAAATGTAAGGGACAAATTTAATTTGGATTCGTCTTTACAAATTTTGTCTCCAGCACGTATGAATGAAGTATATTCGCTATTTACGTCCATGCAAATACATTAAATGGATATAAATGCTGTAATTGTACTTTTAGGTGGAAATTTGATTAGATAATCATTTTCAATCATTGCTTCCCTGAATTCGAAGCATACAAGACTCGAAAAAGCAGAAAATTCGGTATTACGAAATAAAAGGATGCAAAACAAGATTCAACTCGTGCGATTAAATCAAGATTTACTCCAAGAGGCATTCAAGCCTGCTTCGATGCTTTCGGAAGAACTAATCGACGCCGATGTCTGGTGGAAAATCTGCATTAAAAGAAAAGCGATTTGCATACGAGTAAGTGTTCGAAGCGTGCAGAAGAAAGTGCAAAAAGACGACGTCGAAGCTGTGTTTCCGGTTTGAAGAAAAAAGACTGCTTCCGCCGTGTTTCTATTTTAGATGCAGATAAATCAGATTAAAGCTCCCTCTCTTTTGCAGTTTCCAATGCGAATGGGTTTTTTTTTTCTAAGTGGCTAAACCTCACTCAAACTGTCTCCTCGTGTTCAAGTGCTGCATCAACGTCAATTCCGGGTACGCGTTTGGAACCGAATCACTCGGAATTTTTAAAAGCTTTTATGATGTTTCCCCCGAAAGATTCAGCAACAGTAATCTCGCACAATGCTTTCAAAGAAAATCAATGCTGTTTGACGCACGATTTTCCGAGGAATTACGAATTTTCCTCGCAATAAATTGGATTTTCGTGGAGTCTGACATTTCTCACCGATGAATTCAACGGGATGAGAATGTCATGACATGACTGTCGGCAGGATTTAGAAAAGCCTGATGCATCAAAAAACTGGTTCGGAAAGTTTTATATGTTTATTGCTTCTACATAGCAAACTTGAAAATTCGAACTACTGTTTCCTCTGCCGGACCCAACCAGTCAGTTTTCAGTTTCAGACATCCTATAATATTTCAAGCCTACGAAAAGTTATCAACAACTGTAACCAACGTTCGCAGTAAATAATTTATTCTTTATTAAAGTAGTAATGGGATTCCTGAGGAGTCGTCGATAGCGGGCATTTTATTCAGACAAAAAAAAATCACCTCGTCCAACTAAAATGAGCATACAGAGTTTGCTTCGAAAAAATACTTACTTCATGCTTTTTCATTTTGGAAAAAAACTGTCCCCCTTCGGTGGATTACAATGAGAGTGGAAAGCGTTGTACATGAAATATAAATCAAGGGATTCCAGCAAGAAATTTTTTCAGAAAGCGAGTAAAGATAGCCAAGAAGGGGTGTGAATACTTCATCGGTTCTGCGCAAAGCACGATTCGAAAAAAAAAAGTTCTAGAAGTTCAACCAGCTTCGAATAAACAATTCAAGTTCATTGCTGACAACCTTCCAGAAATGGAGCTTAAAAATTGATTACCGAGATGATTTACTTTTGATGGAGATGTGCTCAGGAAAATACCGTACTTCTTTCCCTTCAGTAGAATCTCTCCCACGGAGGCAGTGATTCTATAAATCATAACAGTTGATACAGGTTAAATATCGGTATAAAAAATTGCAGAGAATCAAAAAAGTTCAAGAAAGAAAATTCGAAATTTTGCTAAAAAATGAGAAAATTTTTTCCGGATTCTGGTCTAAAAGAAGATTTTCTTCACACCTGGGATTTTGTTTTAAATGCATAAATTAACACACTAAAAGAAGAAAGAAACTTTTCAAGTAGTATAAAACATTTCTTTCATGATAACGAAGTTCCTGCTGCAAAAATATTTTCGGATTCCCACATGCGTAGGCAAAACTGCAAAAATCTGGGAAAATTATATCTTGTATTGTGCATGTTCGTTAAATACGGACAATAATACATTGATTTTTTACTGAAAAATTCATAACAGTACTTGCGCTAAGCAAATTTGATTCGTACTCGAGTCATGAAAAAACAGAAGAAATTTGCAAGATCAGTCACGATTAACTCACGAATAAAAACAAAAATGATTAAATTCACCATGTACTTGGTTGCCATATATCCTTGTCTAAAAGGTAATTTTTTCTATAGTGATTAAATATTTATGTCAAACTTTTTAGCAGATTTATTTCTGCTTGATTCCTACATTTGAGAGATTTCATTTGAGATAGATTTCATCAGTTCTCAATACGGTTTCTTCTGGCAAAATAGTTCACAGCACTATAATCTCATAAAATATATGATATTGTAATAATGCACATTCTGTCCCCCAAAAAACTCACTTTATTTCATTCAAATTCGAAAAATACTGCACAGCATGATTCACAGCACAATGCTCAGCATTGGTAATGACCTCAATGGATCAAAACACCCCGGGGTCTAAACGGAAACTCAAAATGAGTCACTTTTAAAAATCTTACGATTCAGTTGATCGAATTTCGTTTTCGGCGGTTCTTCCATCAGCCATCACATTGTTTTACGTGAATATAAAAAGGCACTTTTTCCGAATTCGTTTTGAAAAAAAAGATGGTTCATTTCAATAATGCTCAACGTATGTGCACTCTTTCAAGATGTCAATAATGCATTTATTAATTGAAACAAACTCAAAGTGAAATCTCAGAAGGATAGGGGATTTTTTAAAGCGCGAATGCTAGAAGGCGAAATTTTTCGCTGATTCTTGATTGCACGCCTGATTTCCTTTCGCAAAAATTAAAGAAATACTGTATTACACAGTATTTGCCATAAATTCATGATGTTTTTCTTCTCGTTAAATTCATTGTGTTGCATTGGGTCGGATCATCTTGAAATTGATGTACAGTATCTTCGGTCCATGTCAAGTTTCGATTACTGTATAATAAATTTCCCAAATGATCTACAGGACATTTTAAACTTTCCTGGCACGCGTGAAAACTTTAGGTTATCTTGAAATTTATTGGTTTCTCGTATATTGGTTTCTCATATCATATTGGTAAAGAAAATTTCAAATATACGCCAACGTCCATTACAATACGACCATATGCCATTTTCCCGGAAAATATTAAACCAGTCGCTGCCACCAATTTGCGACCTGTCATCGCATCTAATTTTTAAAAAATCGCCTGTTGTAATACTAATCACGAATCAATCATCAGTTAGATATCCTCAAAAACGTTTAATCAAATTTATAATTCTAACTTTCAAGCCGTAAAAGTGAAAACGGCACTCGTGAGTCGTATGTTTGTACATCAGTCGACATTTCATTCAAAATATTGCGTTTATCAGAAGCAATCGATCACTTGACCGGAAAATATAAGATGCTATGAAATATCTGATGCTTTTTTGAGCCAAAGTTTTCAAAAAAAAAAGAAGGCCTTCATATTCTCGTAAATACGGCATATTCTCCAATGTCGCTATTATTCCTGTTTCGGTTTCCTACCTCGAACCGCTCTCCTAATCACAGAAGGCAAGCAGCGACACACCACGAAATAAACTAGTGCCAGGAGAATCGACAGCCCGACAGCCAGAACAGTCGCAGCAACTGCCACGACGTCGAGACTGTTTCGCTGATACCAAGTCAAGTCCGGGGCAGAGGACTTGAGATGTTCGGCTCCTCCGTGCCGCAACACGTACTCGATCCAGAACACGGCTCTCTGCAAAGGGCCCTGTTCAGCATCTCGCATGATCTTGGACCTGTCCTGCACGTTAGCTGCAAACGTGTCGTCAGCCAGCACCGTGCGAACAGCAGTGAACAATTTATCCGCGTCCAGTTCTTCCCAAATGAGAGCGAGGCCAACACCGGCTTCCTGAGCCCGTCGCATGTTGAGGAGTTGGTCGGACCCGACCGGCAATCCAACGATCGGCACGCCATGGAAAGTGGCTTCGTGCATGCTCAGAAGACCGCCCTGGGTGATGAAGAGTTTGGTGGCGGCATGGCCGAGGACGTCCTGTTGGGGCAGCCACTTGGCGAGGCGGACGTTGGGCGGCAAGACCACGCCTTCCACTTGGTCCGACTCCCATTTCCAGAGCACCTGTGCCAGGAAAGAAAGAGGCATGCCTCAGTTAATACCCCTTGGATGGTGGCTTACTTGAAGGAAAAACAGAATAAACGGAAATAGTGGTTACATGTGAGACCACAAGATGGGGATGTAAAAAATAGCTGGTGCATGGACCTTGTCCCAATGTTGGAGCATCCAAATGCTGGATGTTGTTTTCCCATAGATTTCAATGGGAACTTATTTAATTGGTTCTCCAGTTAATTGAAAATTAGGAATGAATGCCCCCACTAATGGAATAAAGTATAATGCTCAACTTATAATTATGCAGAATATAACTGTGCAGAAGAAGACTGCACAGAATCTGATCTTTTGGTATTAAATGGACCCCAAAAAAGCCAAGAAAAATTACAAGTTGTGCTATGCTGTGCATAGATGATGGAGAATACTCCAAAATGATAAGCAAATACAGTGAGACCCCAAGATGCGGACATAATTGATGAATCAAGAGTGTCCCCGAGTTGAAATGTCCTGAAGTTGAGTCTCATTTTCCCTTAGATTTACATTATCTAATTTTTAATTGGTGTTTTAAGTACAAAATACCGTAATTCTATGAAAATAAAAATTGTGTCCCAATTTAAACTGATTCCAGTCAATATGTTTCAACACAATATGGGCATTTAGGGAATTGAATACTGATACCTCTGTACAGTACATAGAAATATTGGTTGTAAAAATGATATTCAAGTGAAAAAGAGAGAAGGAAGTCCCTCTCAGCTGGAGGTATTTTTTTAATTATCTAAATGGATGGTAAATTGGTGAGAGAAATGCCAAAGAACTTTTCTTACTATCAATTTTAGGGTTGGAAATATCTGTTTCTTGTAATTTGGCCTGAAATGTATTTGCAATTTTATAAAAAAATGTCCCTATGTTGAGTCAGTGTTCTCATGTTTGGCCTTTTTTATCAATTTTTTAGAGAAAATAAGTGTCCCTATGTCGATTTGTTCACAGGTCAAGGTGTCTGCATGTGGGGGTCTCACTGTAATCAGCACGTTTTGTTTATAAATGTGAGTTATGACAGCTAGTAAGGTATTAAATATAAGGACTCATGAGACATCTCGAATTCTTTGTATTTATTGAACTTTAAAAGAAAGTCTGAAAAAAAAGGATTTCACAGCAGTGGCCTAGAGAATTCTGACTCAGTGGAAATATGGGGTAACCAAAGCAGTTCATTTCTCAGTGCTGACAAAAATTTTTGAGCCAACCCTTGAACTAGGATTTTAGTCAGCATTACTGAAAAGTTCACCAAAGAATTTGCATGAAACTTTCCCAGAGAATATCCATCTCCCCCGTGTTCAGCAGTTTATAAAGTCATTCGCGTAACTTGACTCACTCTCGCCTTAGTTCTTGCAGGTGATTGCACAAAAACAAGGGACAGTCTCTGAAGCCCCCTTTTATTGATCCCCAGTATATACATAAGCAGTATAGTATTCTCGCAGTATTCAGCGAATGTCTTTCAATTTCACTGAAGTGCTACTCTGAACACTAAACGGGTTACCATGTAGCGAGCAGCAATTTACCTGGAGCAGTTCCCGAGCGGGAAGTGCGCCTAGAAAGAAAGAAAACAACACTCCTTTCCTTGCTGTCGCGACCTAATCAAGGAAACCCTCTGAGAAAGATCAGTTGCCGAACTCCCCGCGCTCTCTTGATTGATGGGGGTGACTTCGAAGACCCCCCAAGGGGTGCTGTATGTTGGAGAAAATAACTTGTTTCCTTTTTTCTTCTTCTTCTCATTTATTCGCACTCATGCGGAACTCTTGCCTTTTTGTGTTCTTCTGTTTTTTTTTTTTTTTTTTGCTGATGCGGCAATGGGAAACAATTACGAGCCCACTCGCTGGATCAAGAGAAGAAAAACGTGCCCCCATTTATCCGGCATACACACACATAGTAAGGGCTTGATGAGACATTCTTTCCGCAATATGTCAGTGGGTGACGAGATCGACCCGGTCGAGCTGTTGCATTTGCGGATTTCTTTATCAATATTATTTGTTCTCCTAGTTGCTCCGAAAGGGAAGGTAACCCTCGTCGTCGAAGGGTTTATTGCGTTTGCAGACAATATGAGGAAAAAAATAAGCGGAGAGAGGGCTTATCAAAATTTCTAGCTTTGTTTTTTTTCTGCAGTGTGGAATTTAAGCAATTATTGCTGGAGAGCCCCAACGAAGATGCTAGAAATAGCTGCTGGACACAATTGTAGTCCTGTGGTAATTCCAAAAAAAAGGGGGTTGCTTTGATTCGAGTCCCACAACTTATTCCATTTTTTTTGGGCAATGTATACTGTACCGTACTTGCCAATACCTTTTTAAAGACAAATATTCGAATCATTTTTAAAATATTTATCTCATGTATTCAAGTTGATTCGGTAAGAAAAACTGCCAGATGACGAGCTACTCGCTCAGACTACTTGAGAAAGAGACTTTTTCTCACTTTTAATCAGACTGAATGCAAAATAAGGCGGCTTGAGTTGAGAATAAGCTTTCGGATTCACGACCTCAAATCCGCAGCTGATCATTGTATCGATTTCTTTCTTGAGCGCCTTAAATGTAGCGAGAAATTTCACGCGGATTATTTCGTAAGCATTCCCGTACCATCAAGCAGAGTCTTGCGCATAAATTTCGAAAAGACGATGACTGTACTTTTCGTCATAGCAAAAAATTCGGCATAAATCCCCTAAACGTTGCGGTGTTTGATGAAGACTGGCTCAGTTTCCTGCGACGCTGAATCATTTTTCATCACCAAAGTGATTTTTCTCCCGTGAAATAATTTTTGAACACCCTTCAAATAAACAAAGGTCTTCATAGTTCGTTTTCCATTCATCACTTGGCACTTATTGGGCACAAAAGTCCACAATATAATCTGATGTGGAGTAGTTTATGAAAGCAATAAACAAATGAATCAGTCCTGGACTGGACTGGAATTCTTATTGGAATTCCTATTTAAAAAGGGAATAATAATGTATTTCACACACACAAATAAAAATGACTTGACAACCTCAGGCGTGAGGATAACTTGAGTAATCTCTGGCACACAGCTAAACTGAATCTGAGTGAATAATCAGAAAAGGAGCAGCTTATATTAACAATTATATTTAACCTTCATAAGGCTTTAGGATGCAATCAGAACAGCCAAAGAAGTTATTGTAGATGTTCCTGGCACTGCGATTTTGAGGAGGGGGAAATTTTTCTGAGAATCGAGTACATTAAGGTATTTTAATATACACGGCGTGCATGCCCAACAGCACTCGGTTTTTATTGCACAGATAAAAATACAAACTTTACCCTGCAGTAGACTACCACTGATTTTTGCTTACAATTAAAAAAAAATAGAGACCCAAAACGGAAAAGGTGGACAAATGGTAAGCAAAACAAGGCTAGCTTGAAAATAAGTCTAATTGGAATTAATTCAATTACATTTGCAATTCTTTTTTTTTTATCAACCTAAGCTCACAAGCTCAGTGACATTCATCATGAAACTATTGGTTGGATTGAGTAATATTAGTGGAATAATGATCTTATAGGAAGATTCTGCGTTTGGCTTATTCATGCTCAGTCTGATTTTATCGTCTACTGAACTTGTGTGACCACGGTGCATTATTTTTCATTCACTTTTGAAAACCGGTGGAAGTTTTTCAGACACCGAGGACTCGGAAGAGACACCAAAGAACACAGCAGCAGAAAAAAGAGAGCTTCCCCAGGTGATAAGTTTTCGTGCAACATCAGCGATCTTCGGGTGTCTTTTCTTTCTTTCTTTTTTCTCCCCTGAAAAATGCTTTTTGAAACGGGGGAATGTTTTGCGTTGAACCGATCATACTTTATTCACGAGCATTCCCGTCTTCCTCGGATGCCCGGTCTATCCATCCATCCTCCCATAACCAGCTTCTCCATTTATGGCATCTTCTATTCTAACCGTGTGGGCATTCTCCAGGGATGCTTTCCACTTGTTTTCTAATTCACCGGGTTCCCTTCCGCGATGTGGGATCAGGGAAACGGGTCGACGAGCCGTATTCCATGGAATGCAAATCGAGATTATTGGAATTTCCGGATCCCGGAAATATAAATATGGAGTCCTCTTTGACACGCCTGCACGCGTCTTTGCCTGTCCCATCCCTCGGCTCGATTTTTTATTGCTTCTGAACCGTCGAGAAACTCCGAGTGCTTTCCAGGAATTATTGAGTTGAATCACGGTGCTTTTCCGATGTCACAAGCATTATGTGAAAAGTGTGAGACCACTGACATGAGATCTGGAAAATGGGATTTCTGCTGCTCGTTTCCGAAAAACAAAAATCTAATCCTCATACGTCTCTGATGGGGGTTCTGAGTTACCAGGCAAGTCATCAAGAGATTTTTTGTTGTAGGCAGACGGAACTTGGTGGTAGTAGAATTTTACCAAATTTTCCATCTACCCTATTTACTCAAGTACCACGAACTTTGGTGATACAACCCCTCCATTTTTTGGCTGAAAATTTTGCAAAAAATGTTCCCTTAATGAACCTTATGAACGCTGAAAAGCGGAAAATAAAGCGTGCTGATAAATTCAATGCAATACTGTAATACAACGTGCTCCGTAGTTATCGACGCTTTTCTGCTGCTGAAATTTCAGAAATTACGATATTTGAAATTTCCACTCTATTCTCAAATACAAGGTGAAATCAATTTCATCTTATCTCACTTTGTTCGATAANCTTCTTCTTCTCATTTATTCGCACTCATGCGGAACTCTTGCCTTTTTGTGTTCTTCTGTTTTTTTTTTTTGCTGATGCGGCAATGGGAAACAATTACGAGCCCACTCGCTGGATCAAGAGAAGAAAAACGTGCCCCCATTTATCCGGCATACACACACATAGTGAGGGCTTGATGAGACATTCTTTCCGCAATATGTCAGGGGGTGACGAGATCGACCCGGTCGAGCTGTTGCATTTGCGGATTTCTTTATCAATATTATTTGTTCTCCTAGTTGCTCCGAAAGGGAAGGTAACCCTCGACGTCAAAGGGTTTATTGCGTTT